CAAACATTTCTCAACAGCGCCACCTGTTTCTCTGCACGCCCCATGTCAACACAATGTCAATGCTACAAAACTGCAGTTCTCATTGGAAAAAAAGAAATAAATAATAACACATGCATGCAGCTTCTGTGCAGACTAAGGACCCTGCCCCCCACTTTGGGCCTCACTTCTACAGTTTACATAACTGTTTCTTATGTATGTAATTATTAAATACCAACTCACTGGATGTAACAAACACTAGGTTTTTGTTATGGAGGTTTTCTGGTCAGACACAGGAAATATTTTGCTGAGCAGAAATTGTGAAAGTTCAACAACTGTCTTAAATTAATCAAATGAATGTCTGGCATTTTAGAATTCAGCCCTTATTATAAAATTCTGATTTTGTTTTGTTACCTCCATATTTCAAACTTTTTAAATAATTACAACAAAAGATACCAAACATGGTTCCCTAATATTAAATAAATAATCTGGGACCGATTTCCCAAATTTTAAAATTGAGCTTAAATTATCCCTAATTTTCACGGGAAGTAAATTCTATCTAAAAAAAAAAAAGCTTTTTTGAATTACTATGAGAATTTTACATTTGACCTTGACTTTACAAAGTGTAGTCAGAGAATAAAATTCAACTTTGCCAAAATAATGAAAATTTATGACAAATTTATGACTACAAAAAACTGAACCAAAAACCTTTTGGGTCATAAAGTCAGAACTCTGACCTTTCAAATGCTGAAACTTTAATCAAAGCAGAGTGACCTAACTTCGCAAATCTTATAAAAAGTCAATGCCTCTTTCACATCGTTATCGGTGAGAAAAAAAAAACATTGTCAGAATCCAGAGAATAAGGTGGAAAGAACTTCAAAATAAGATTCAATATTTAAGTTTTATATATTAGGAACCCACATCATCCACCTTCCACCTCATCAAAACAAAGACACAATAACCAACGATTTCTAAGAAAGTACTTCCAGGTCATTTAAATATATGTTGCGGTAATAAAGTCTACGACTTAACGTATTTGTTCTCCCCGATGGTAAAAAGATGTGAGCCATTATTATTCAGCATTGATTCAAACTGGGAAAGAAACCACCCCTTAAATCAATGGCGCCGTCTCCAGTGAGCGGCTACAGCCTGTGTAACTGTGTTTTCTCTGCTGCTCTGCCGTAGCATCTGCTCCTTCATCCATAACAGTATATGAACCCATTATGGTGCTCCACACAGTAAGTCCCTGCTTTTTAACAACTATAGGTTTGACATTATCTCTGTGGAAACTAATGAATTAAAGAGACAGGGTTTAAGTCTGATCCACGGTTTAGAACCCCAGTATAATCACATAGTCCCATAATCCAGGCCGAGGGACTCGTTAGAAAGAAGGAGGACGGAGCAGCTCCATCGGTTATTGTACACATTACGCTGGGCCAGAAAAAAACATTTTCATGCACCGATATGAGGATTTTTATTCATGCACTCGATACTTTTTAAATTTACAATAAAGTAGTGGGCAGTGCAGGA